CACACCTTAGCCCCAAAGTCTATTTTTGGTATTCCCTGGGGACTTCATACCTCTGTTCCCCTTGCTGTTCTGTTGCCTGCCCTTAGTGTTTTGCCTCGGTGTGGTGGGATCAGATCGGGCACAATTCCCACACTGTGTCTCCAGTGTTGTCCCCTGTAGGGATATGGGTCATAGCTATGGGTGAGGGATGTCATGTCTCATAATGAGGCTGGCCTTGTCGTCTTCTCTGTGGGTTGGCTACTGTGAGCAGGAATATCGTCCTCAAGGCTTGGTGGGCCAGGATGTGTTCCACTCTCTCTTCATCCCCCTTCATTTGCTCCCGTGTGCTCTGATCAGACATGTCCCTCTCCCTGAGCTGTAGCTTCAGTGCTGTCCTCTGAAGTAAATTCTTTTGTGGGGAGGGGCAGCTGGGATTGGGGCTGGCCCTACAATCTACATTTTACTAAGACACCCAGGTGACCAGTATGCACATTAAGGTTTGGGAAATATATATAAGAAGTATTAAAGAGAAATATGTCTTAGTAGGAAAATGTAAGAAACCTTTTTGAAATTTTCTGTGCCTGTCTAAAATTTTTTTCACTCTTTGATCAAGGAATGTTTTTGGTCTTTCTGTATTTAAATACATTACATGTAGTTCTCCACTTATGATAGGGTTCCGTCCAGTGACTCCATCAAATCATTTCAGATATAAGTCCAATGCCTCATTAGTCCTACTTTTTTTTCAGTGTCTTCATAAATTCACAACACTGAACATCTGTGAGTAGACAGCTGAGTGATACCTTCAAGAAAGTACATGCTGCAACACCACGTAGTAAATTACTAATGAGAAAATGTACCCCCAACAACACAGCACAAAAACAGATGGTTCTAAAAGTGCAGCTCACTGTAACTTGAAAACTAACTTTATGTCCCGTGGGATCAGTGTAAAGGTATTAGAGGGTTTTTTTAAACCACTTTTTGAAATTTTCAGAGTTCCAAAATAAAGGGAGGAGCAGTTAGTTCACAATTTAATAAGTACTTTGTCATTTTATTTCTTAAATGTTAAGTTTTATTTAAATTGTTGGTGCTCCACAGCATTTTTCTAATTTAGGAATCCATTGAAAATCTGCACCCATTAAAAGAAAATGTATATATACCCATAACAAGATTTCAAAAGATTATAATTAATTTGCCAAGGGAATTATTTTTTCCGTGTAGCTTTAATTGGCTATAATAATTATACTATTGATAGAATTACCATATGCCCCCAAAGGATGATTTTTAATGTTCCTCAGTAAAATGATATCTCTGAATTGAACCAGGGACATATGTGAACTATACATAATATGGGTTATTAGATTTTAAATACAGAATATATATAATAGATTTTGAACTCTTACTTAATCCCAACCCTAATTCAGGAACAATTTGTTCTTATGTCATGAAGTGATCACTGTAGATATGGGTGCTGTAGCAATGTGTGATAAAGAAATCAGATGGTGCCCAGCTATCAGAAAGAATACAATCTGAGGTCTTAAAAGCTTGTCTTACGACAAGCAACTACCCTCTTCAACAAGTGGTGCTGGAAAAATTAGATCACCATATACAGAAGATTGAAACAGGAACCTTACCTCACATGCTCTTATTTAATTAATGTTCTATAATTCACCTCTAAATTCTAATATCCATTGCAGGAGCTGCACAGAAACTTATAGGCAGAATTCATGATTCAAATGATTTATTAAGGATGTTAGCAAGCTGTAATGCCAATGAGAAATACTCAGGATAGTTGTTTACCATGACACATTACAAAGTTTCAGGTCTATTAAATGCCCAAAGGGCCATGCCTCTCTGCTGTAGGCCGCAACACAAAGGCATTCAGTTCAAGCCCAATCGGTAGCAAATCTAGTTCCCTGAATTGTGTGCCTGAAAGCACCCCGCTCCAGTAAGACTCAGCCCACAGGCACTCAGCTCCACTTCCCTGGGTCACAAGTCCAGAGGCACCCCACTCCAGTCAACCTCAGACCAAACAAAGGCACTGAGCTCCACTTCCAAGTGGACTTGTCAGCAAGTCTCCACAAACTAGCCTCCTGCATAAATGCACTTGTCTTTGTTTGTCTTTCGGTTAGGAGGTCCCATCCCATTGTTCAGAAGCCATCCCTCTGGCTTCTGATTCTGCTGCTGCTCCTCTGATGTTGTAGCTACCTGGATCCAGGAGGTGCACTGCGCAGGTCCACAGGATGCACTCTACTCCTGGCTCTTGCTAGTAGTGAGACTCACTCCTCCTTCTCAGAGGGCTCATTTTATACACAGTAGGATGGCACTCCAGGGTATCCTGTTTGCAATTACTCACAGGTGAATCCTATCAGGATCTTTTCCCACCGTGTTACCAACCCATACAGAGATGGTCATCTGGTGGGAGGAAGAGACTTTGGCTAGAAGAGCCACGTTCAATAATGGATTGTCCCATGCACAAAAATGAACTCAAGCTTGATTAGAGACCTAAATGTAAACCCCAAAGCTATTCAGGGTCAGCAGTGAGTAGATTGGGACAAACTTACGGGTCTTATTGCTAGTCATACACAGACTACCCCTTTTAATAAAGGAAACACACACAACGGAAGACCAAAGAGATGCCTGAGACCTATTAAAAAGGAAACACGCACACCCAAAGACTTCATCAGTAGAAGAAGATGGGCAAAAAGACATTGGCAATGACACAGTGGACAAGGGAGTACTTACTAAAATCCACAGCATACTGCAACACCTCCATAAGAAAACAGTCCAGTTCAAAGATGGGCAATAGACAGTTCACAAGGAATGACACTCATGGCTAACAAACACATGAGGAAATGTTCGGAATAACTCGCCATTGGGGAGATGCAAATCAAAATAATGATGAGATAACACCTATCACCCATGATAGCCCAGTTTGAAAAAGCAAACAGAGCTACAAATGTTGGAGAGGGTGTGGAGACATTAGAACTCCTACACTGCTGGTAGACTTGTAAATATGTACAAACATTGTGGAAAGCAATGTGGCACTACGTAAAACAACTGGGAATAGAAATACCAAATGACCCAGCAATAGTTTGGCTGGCTATGTACCCCAAAGAAATATAAGAAGAAATTGCAGCCTGCCTCAACACAGGGTCCTTCAGGGGGTTGCACTTGGGAACAAGGTAATGACAAGCTGGAAATAGTAAGGCAAGCAGATTGGACTGATTTAAGGAGTGTGTCAGTAACTAAACTTGAGGGAATGAGTCACTGAGCCTGGGGATCAGAATCAAAATCTCAGGAGACAATCCAGGTCAACTAGTATAACAGTTCAACCAGACAATGCTTGGCATCCTACTTTATGAATAGCAACTAGGACCTTTAATATGTGTGGGCTGCCTGGTTGCAACTGTCAGTTTCCCTAGTAGAAGGAAAGTAGAATGATGAGACTCAGAAGGCATGGAAGCATTTAGGCCAGTAGACTAATGAACCATGCAAACATCAGACTCCATGAACTTGAGACCAGAAGAACTAAATGGTGCCTGGCTACCACTAGCAACTGCTCTGAAAAAGATCACCGTAGAAAGCAGGCATACTGGTGAGATAGCGACTGGTGGACCCCCCCAACAATATGGCTCTTAGTCACCTGGGTTAAGCCATGGTAGGTTGAGGGGACTGCAGTAAAGGAATGGAAATAAAATGTATATGCACTGTTGAATGAAAAACTGGTGATTTGCTCTATAAACCTTCACCTAATTCACAATTAAAAAAAAAAAAAGGATTAAAAAGCAAGCATCTAAGTGAGATGACAGCACAGTCCACAGGAAAGAAACGCCAGCCTGTGTGATACAAGGATTATAAATAATTCAATCCAAGACAGGAGACGGAAACCTTATTAAAACGTCTGTTTTGAGCGCCCAGTTTGCAAAAAGCTGTGGATGAGAGTGAAAACCAAAAATTCCCTGGCCGCATCCTTGTATGGATTAAGCCTCTGGAGAATCCTCTCTGACCATTGGCCTTACTTATGTGAATAGCCTTGCTATCAGACAGACTGGATTGGAAAGTGCATGAAGGCTGATGTAGTTAGGTTAACATTTGACAACTTATTTGTTTTGCCCTTTGACTCATTTTTAAATTCTAGTTTTTATTATTTTTGCTTTCTTTTAGATTGAGGGCTTTCTGTTTTATTTTGTAATTATTGTTTCAGAGATATATGAAGTCTAGCACAGGCAAGTCTGTGGAGACAGTAACTGGACTGATAGTTTCTTAGGGTTATGGTTGTAGAAGGGAAATGGAAAGCAATGACAGTAAGAATTAAGAAAGGAGGAGCTGATACCAAGGACTCAAGTAGAAAATGTCTTGAAAATGATGATGGCAACAAATGTACAAACGTGCTTGACCTAGTGGAAGGATGTACGGATTGTGATAAAAGTTGTACGACCCCCAATAAAATGATTTTTTTTAATTCAGAAAATATCCTAACATTGATTGTGGTGATAATTGCACAACTCTTTTATGTGCTTAAACCATTGAAATGTGTGTTATGATGATTATTTGTCAGTAAAACTAAAAAAAAATGTTCATTGAGGATAAGAGAATTTTTCTACAAACTTTTGGAACCCTTTAGGAATGCTGCCAATTCGATAAAGTGAAAAGTATATTTTAAATTGCATTTTTCTTGTAGACGTGAGACTGAGGCTCTCTTCTTAGATTGAAAGGCTGTTTAAATTTTGTGTTCTTTGAATAATATTTTCATGTCCTTGTCCTGTTTTTGTACTGCAATGCCAGTATTTCCTATTTGGTTTTTGGTGCACATTTTATAGAGATTAACCCTTTGTCTACTGTAAATACCTCCCCCACCAGTTGGCATTGGTCATATGAGTTGCCTTATGATTTCTTTTTTATGAGGTAAAAAAAAAAAGTCTTCTTTTGATTTTTTTTAATGTACTTTTATTTATTTTTTAAAATCATTTATTGGGGACTTACAACATTCCATACAGCAATTGTATTAAGCATATTTGTACATGTGTTGCCATCATTTTCTAAACATTTGCTTCTATTTGAACCCTGGGTATCAGCTCTTCTTTTTTTCTCTCCCTTCCCACCTCCCTCCCATCCTGCGACCGCTTGATAAATTATAAATTATTATCGTATGCTTATCTTATACTGACCACTGTCTCCCTTTACCCATGATTCTGTTGTTCATCCCTTTGGGAGAGAGAGGGAGGCTAATGCATCGATCATTGCTATCGGATCGCCCTTTCTTCCCTATCCTCCTTGTATCATAATGTGCTTTTAGAAGAAATTAATACATTTTAAAATCATTTGGTAACAAATCCAATTTTAGATTGAATTTAGTAGAGGTATATATATTAAAATTAACTTTAATAAGTAAAATGGTCCTTTGCTTACTGTTCTCTAATTGGTTTCATCATTTTTAACTTTGCTTTAGGGAATGGATAAGAATGCTTTTGAAAAAAAATATAATACCGTTGGAATGAATATATTCCGAACTCACCAGTTGTTCTGTCAAGATGTACTGAAATTGAGTCCTGGTGAAATTGGTATTGTCAGCAATGGAAAAGTAAGTAGAGTGACCCTGTGGTACATTTGTCAGTGACACTGTGGGTTAGTGGTTCTCAAACTCTTGTTCTGTCACAACACAGCTGATGCAAAATATGGACAAGGTGGTACTCATATACTGCTGGGCACACTTGACACCTTTCAAAATACATAAATTCCTCTTTGAAATGTCCAGTTCATAACGCACGACCTCTTACTTCATCCTTCTCTCACCTTCCTTTAAATAAGGAAGGGTATGTGTGTGCAGCTAACTTTTATTTTATTCTAATAAAATATTGGAACAAACAACTTAGTGCACATTAGAATATTGGATTTTAAACTACTATTATAGTACGTGTAGTAAGTAGATCATGGCAGCTTAAAAATAATTATGTACAGTTTTCAATTTTTGAAGTATAATGTAATATAAAGGATCACATTTCATTAATGTAATCTTTAGAAAGGCATAGGAAAATCAATTGTAGGCCAGATATTCTATATAAAATTCACTACTAATATCTTGTTTTACCTGCCAATCCTTTTTCCACTGTTTTTAGCCATGACAGGTTTTGTTTTATTTTATTTAAAAGATGGTATCTTACTATATGCATCATTTTATAGGTTAAATTTTCCTTTAATATGTCACATTACTGTGTGTGTAATAAGTTTAATCAACCCATTTTTAAAAAAGATATAAAACTAGTCAGATTTCCTATTTCTTCTAATCAGGTTTTTGTTGTTGTTAGTTTGTATCTTTCAAGGAATTGTCTATTTCATCTAAGTTGTCAGATTTATCAGCATTAAGTTATTAATTCCCTTAATATCCTTTTAAGTCCATAGTATCACTTACAGAGTCTATAGAATCTGTTAGCAGACAGCATCCTAACAATATTTTTCAAGTATGGTAGTCTGTTTTTATGCTTTAGGCATTATTTAAGAACTTTAAATCTTAATCTTACTAAGAAATCAAGGAATGCAATACTTGAGTTACATATCTCTGCTTGAATTATAAAATTTTCCTATCTTCAAAGCTCTAATGTATTCTCTAAGTTTTCTTTATTTTCCACAATTTATGAGCTTAGTTTATATGCATGTTTTATTTTCATTTCAAATTCCCTAAAGATGAACAGAATTGATAGACTTTTGGCAAACCTAACCAAAGAAAGGAAGGAACAAACATCAATAGCCAGGATGAGGAATGAAACAAAGAAAATTACAGTGGACCCTAATGAAATTAAGAGGGTTTTTCTTTACACCGTACTAAGAAAGCTTGTACTAAAATGAATTCAACAACTTGGAAGACATGGACAAATACTTAGAAAAACAATCCTTCCCTAGATTATCCCAAATGGATGTCAAGAACCTCAACAGACCCATAACAATAGAAAAAATAGATAAGGGACGACCACTGAAAAATCCCCCTGGCCAGACAGCTTCACCGGAGAATTTTACCAAGCATCCAGGGAAGAACTGACACCAATCCTGTACAAATTCTTTCAGAGCATAGAAAAGGACAGCAAACTCCCAAACTCTATGAAGCTAGTATAACACTGATACCTAAAGCGAGCAAGAATCCCACAAAGATTGAGAACTAGACCGATATTTCTAAGGAACACCGATGCAAAAACGCTTAACAAAATATTGGTCAATAGAATACCAAATATATAAAACAAATAATTCATCATGAACAAGTGGGATTCATTCCAGGGAGGGTACAACATTAGAAAGTCCATCAACATTATTTACCACATTGACATGAAAATGGATAAGAACCACACAATAATATCAATAGAAGCAGAAAAAGCATTCGACAACATGCAACACCCATTCCTGTTTAAGACACTCAAGAAGATAGGAATGGAAGGAAAATTCCTCAAAATAATTTAAACCATAAATGAAAAATCAACAGCCGATGTAATAATCAATGGGGAAAAGATGAAAACATTCTCACTGAAGTAGGGGTCCAGAAAAGGATGCCCCTTGTCACCTCTTTTATTCAACATTGTACTGGAAGTTTTAGCTAACAACATAGGCAAAGGAAAAACATGAAAGGAATTCATCTGGCAAAAGAAGAGGTGAAATTATTATTATTCACAGGTAATATAATTTTATGTATTGAAAACCCCCAAAGCTCCACAGTAGGAGTGCTGGAAGTAATAGAGGAATATGGTAGAGTGGCAGGATACAAGATCAACGAACAAAAGTCTGTTGGATTGCGGTATACACTGGACGAGATCATGGAAGAGGAGATCAAAAAGATAGTACCCTTCACAATAGCAAAGCTCAAATTGAAGTATTTAGGGATACTGTATACCTAACCCAAAAAACAAGATTTGTACAATGAAAACTACAAAACACTATTACAAGAAACCAAAAGTGACCTCCACAAATCCTTGCTTATGGATCGCAAACCTCAATATAGTAAAGATGCCAATCCCTACCCAAGGCACTATATAAATTTAATGCTATCCCAATACAAATAGCAACATCTTTTTTCAATGAACTGGAACAACTAATAACTGACTACCAACTTCATATGGAGAGGGAAGAAGCCACATTTGTCAAAACAGCATGGTATTGGTATAACGACAGATAGACCAATGGAAAAAAACAGAAAATCCAGAAATAAAAACATCCATATACAGATAACTGATCTTCAATAAGGATCCTAAAAATATCAAATGGGAATTGGATGCCCTCTTCAACAGGATGTGCTGGTAAATAATGGATATATACCTACAGAAAAAATAAAGCAAGCCTCTCACCTCACTTCATACACAAGAATTAAGCCGGGGGGCTTCACAGACCTCAGGGTAAAACCCCCAAACTGTTAGGGCCATCAATAAGGGAATTGGGACAAATCTAAGAACTTTAGCGCAGGGAGTGAACAGGCTCTCAGAAATAGGGATGGAGACAAACACAGAGGAAGCACAAATTGACAAGTGGGATATACTGAAGATAAAACACCTGGGCATATCGAAAGACTTCATCAAGCGTAATAACAGAACACACAGACCAAGACCAGACATCTGTGCTCCAATATTCATCATGGTGCAGTTCACGACCGTGAAGAATTGGAAACAATCTAAATTTCCATCAACTGACAAATGGATTAAAAAACTCGGGTATATACATACAGTGGAGTACTATGCAGCCTTAAAAAGCAGCAATAAACACATGAAGCTTGTCTCATGGGAAGAGTTGGAGGAAATTATGCAAAGCGAAGTTAGCAGTGCACATAGGGATAGGTACAACAGGAGTCTACTGAGGTAAGCTCAAAAAGTACAGTGGGCATAGAGAATAAACTACTTAATGCAAAAATCCTGGGGTGAGGTCCAAGCATTTTGGCAGAAGTCTGACCCAATCCAGGGGATACATATGTCAGCCAACTATAAAAAAGGGTAAAAGAAGGGGAAGGGGAGGAACAGGGCACTAATAAACCCATGGGGAGGGTATTGTTTGTCTCCACAGGAAAGGGAGAGAGGGACAAGACCCCATCCTGGAGCACCAAGCTTTGAGGACTACATACTGGCACGGAGCAGCAAACTAACAGGATGATGGGCCAGGCCCAAGCCAAGCGATGTTGACCCCCTCCCCAGAGGAACGTAATACAGAGGACAGCACTGAAGATATAGCCTGGGGAGAGTGGCGAACCAAGAGGGAACGAGAGAGAAAGTGGACCTCATCATGGCCCGCTAAGCCCCGGGGCTGACATGCCTGCTCAGAGCAGCTAATGCACAGAGGGGACCACATGACGGTCCCACCATGAGACACAGCATTCCCTCACTGACCCATAGCACTATGGGGGACAACACTGAAGACACTGTGCAGAAAGTGTGCCCATTTTACCTCATGCACAGCAGAGTGAATGTGAAGGAAGTGCCACAGGGCAGCAAAGGGAGTAAAGTACCAAGTCTCCACGGAATTCTGAAAATTGACTTCTGACTCAGTAGACAGGGCTTGGCACCTCATCAGACCCGATTGGAAAACACTCATAAGGGTCAGCAGACAGACCTGGAACTATCTATCAGGGTTTTTGTTTGTTTTCTTTCCCCCTATGTCTGTCTATATAAGATAGAACAAACAATCCCGAGGAAAAAACAACAGGACCGGCGTCCCCAAGGGGACATGGGAGAGGAGGGGGCAGGGAGCCAGCAAACTCAGGGATAAGGAAACAATAAGAGATCTAAAATTGATAGCGAGTAGGGGCTATAATGCTTGGTGGGGTCTGATCAAGTGCATTGTATCCAAGAGGAATTACTGAGAGCCGAATGGAGGGTGAGCATGATAGTGGAACAGAAGTAAGGTGAAAGGAAATGGAGGAAAGAAGTAGGAGGCAAAAGCTACTTATCAAGGTATAGCTATAGGCATGTATATATGTAAATATATTCATTTATAATGAAAGGGATAGAGGCCAATGTACATATATTTATATGTTAAGTATTAAGATAAACAGACAGGCTTTGGACCTCTGCTCAAGTCCTCCCTAAACACAACACTTTGTTCTAATAAGCTGGCACTTTTGATAACCACCTTCCTGACACAATTGCTGAAGACAAAATTGGTACATAAGCAAATGTGATGAAAGTGGATGGTGTCCAGCTATCAAAAGATATATAGCATCTGGGGTCCCAAAGGCTTGAAGTTAAAACAAGCAGCCATCTAGCAGGGAAGCAAATAAGCTCACATGGAAGAGCCCAGCAGCCTGTGTGATCATGTGGTGTAGAGAGGCTCAAACAAACCATGATATCCATGTGAAAGGGGGGCCAGCGTGGAGACCCAAAGCCCAGCTGTAGACAACTGGACATCTCACAACAGAAGGGTTACAAGAACGGGACAATTCAACCAGGGTGCAGTATAGCACTGAGGAAACACATCATTCCTGTGATTCCTGAATGCTTCTCCCCTCAACTCCCATGACCCAGTTCTACCTTACAAATTTGGCTAGACTTGCTTACACACATTGCCACAGATAAGGGCTCTCGACAAATGGAATTCAGAACAGATAAAACCCTCAAAAACAATAATGGGAGTAGCGATATCATGAGGGTAAGTGGAGGATGGGGGCGGGGTAGAAAGGGGGAACCCATCACAAGGTTAGATATATAGCCCAGCCCCCAGGGGAACGAATAGCAGAAATGTGGGTCCATGTAGACAATGGACAGTGTGAGACACGAAACAACAATATATAATTGATCAAGGATTCACAAGGGTGGGAGGGTGGGGGAAGGAAGGGAGGGGGGAAAAGAAGAGCTGATACCAATGACTCAAGTAGAAAGAAAATGTTCTAGAAATGTTGATGGTAACATATGTACGAGTGTACTTAATACAATTAAATGATGGTTGTCAATAATGTTTGTAAGAGCTCCCCAATAAAATGATTAATTTGTTAAAAAAAATCCTTAAAATTGTTTGCTCTTACGTGAATCTGTAAAATTAGAGGACTTGGGAAAGAGCAGTGGCTCATAGAAATCAAATATAACGACATCTAGTGTAATCTTTTCGAACTAATTGTGTGACTTGCCAAAAGCAATCAGAATGAGAGTCAAATGTGCACAGCACTACTGTACAAATCAGTGATGAGTTGTAACTATTGTGAAGGTTTTAGTGCATTTTCATAGCAAACTATGTTACACAGAAGCCCAGATGTGCCGTTGCTTCTTCTCTTTAAGAGTGCTCTGGAAGGAAAGACAATTTTTTAGAACAGCTTTAAAGACTCTCTCTCCTCCATCAGTCATTTTGGGGAGTATACCTACTTTGTCTAGTACCTTGCCTTTTAGTTGTTAAAAAAAAAAAAAAAGACATCACCTACTGCCATCAAATTGGTTCTAATTCATAATATCCCGATAGGACAGAGTATATCTGTGCCATGGAGCTCCAAGACTGTGACTCTTTACCAAAGCATCTTTTTCCTGTACCTTCTGGTTATATGTTATGGGAATATTACCCTATGTTATCTTTGTAATTGTTTAAGATTATATTTATACAAGCAAATGTGGTGAAGAAAGCTGATGGTGCCTGGTTATCAAAAGATATGGCGTCTGGGGTCTTAAAGGCTTGAAGATAAACAGGCAGCCATCTAGCTGAGAAACAACAAAGCCCACATGGAAGAAGCACACCAGCTTGTGAGATCACAAGGCATCGAAGGGATCAGATATCAGGCATCACCCCCCCCCCCCAAATCATAGCATTGTGAATGAGGGGGACTGCCGAGTGGGAATCCAGGGCGCATCTGTGGGAAATTGGACATCCCCTTGCAGAAGGGCTGCGGGGAGGAGATGAGCCAATCAGGGTGTAGTGTAGCAATGATGAAACATACAATATTCCTCTAGTTTTTGAATGCTTCCTCCCCACCACTCTCATGATCTCAATTCTATCTTACAAATCCGGCTGGACCAGAGGATGTACACTGGTACAGATAGGAACTGGACACACAGGGCATCCAGGACAGAGGAACCCCTCAGGACCAGTGGTGAGAGGCGATACTGGGAGGGTGGAGGGAAGGCGAGGGAGAAAAGGGGAACAGATTACAAGGATCTACATATAACCTCCTCCCTGGGGGACGTGGGTGAAGTGAGATGTCGGCTAAGATAAGACAGAAAAATAAGTTATAAATTATTAAGTGTTCAGGGGGGAGTGGGGAGGGAGAGGAATAATGAAGAGCTGATACCAAGGGCTCAAGTAGAAAGCAAATGTTTTGAGAATGATGAGGGAGACAAATGTACAAAAGTGCTTGACACAATGGATGGATGTATGGATTGTGATACGAGTTGTACAAGCCCCCAATAAAGTGATTAAAAAAAACCACGATTAAATTGCTACCAATATTAATGCTAGTTTGTATTAATTTTGTGTGCCAGACATTATTCTGGGTTCTCAGGGTACATTGAACAAACATGTTCACATGGAGGTTATGTTTTGGTGGGCAGAGACAGGCACCAGGCACCTTACTGATAAGGTGCCATTTACACAAAAGTTGAAGATGACGAGGGCTTAAGTAAGCCACATTCAGTGTCTGGAGGAGGAACGTTGTAGACAGAAGAAGCTGTAAGTGCAAAAACCCTGTGGCAAAATCATGCCGATGTGGTGCAGGGATTACAGAAAGGAGGAAAGTGGTCAGGAGAGGTACAAAAACAAACAAACTTCATAACCACCATTTCCTCCTATACTTAGGCATTAAATTAAGTGATCTTTCTATGCTCCAAAACATTTCTACAGTGTCAGCTAGTTGGATATTATTTGGAATTATTATAGTAATTATGAAATTTGTCTTTTGGTTTTTGTTCTTTTATGCCTTTTATGCCTATGTACTAAGTTTACATAGTATAGACTTTGACTTACAGGGAACACAAAAACATTACACTTAAATGATTTATAAATTCTGAACATTTCTTTTAATTTGGATCAAAAGGTTTTATGTTAGTATTTAGAAGCATCGTGACGTATATGTCAAAGCAAAACTACCAAACAGATGAGGTATCTAAAAATGCTTGGCACCTTTGATGACAATGTGCGTGCAAATGTTACTTGTAATGCCAAAATGAGAAAATACTTCTCTTGTTTTCAGTGGCTTTGGTCAATGGTGAATTTAAAAGCTATTATCTGTTTACTCTTTAACCAGCTTTTTACTAAAGTAAGACATATTTGATGAGAAAATTCTTGTTTGAAATGGTATTTTCTAGAAGACATGTAACAATATAACATTTTATTTTAAGTTCCTAGGACCTTTAGATGAAATTCTCTATGCAGAAGATTTTTACTTACTGGAGAAGATAACGTTTAGTAGTTTTGTAGAGCAGATTAAAGGCATCGTTAAAAATATGGAAACCAGGTCAACAAAGTAAGTATTTAAAATCCTTAAGGTTAGTCTACTTTGGCGATATGTCATTTTGAATGTAATTTTTAATTTAGAAATTATTTTCAGTGTATCAAAAATAAAGATATAATAAAAGACATACAAGGAGAATGTAAAGAAGGGAGATAGTGGTCAGTGTATGATATGAAAATAATAATTTATAATTTATGAAGGAGGCACAAAGGTGGGAGGAAAGGGAGGGAAAAAAGAAGAGCTGAGCTGATACCAAAGGCTCAAATAGAAAGTTAATGTTTAGAAAATGATGATGGCAACATATGTACAAATATGCTTGATACAAGTGCTGTATGGGATGTTGTAAGAGCCCCCAATAAAATGATTAAAAAAAATAAAAGCACATTTAAAATATCAAAAGAAAAGAAATGCTAAGAAGAAAAATAATAATGAAGAGAAAGGAGAGAAGTTGTCAAAACATTTTTCAATGAAAGGATTAGTTGAACTGTTTTCTAAACTAAATCAGGTGCTTCAATTGCGTGAAAACTTGGACCCGAAGTCTGATCATATTTCTAAAGTCGAAAGGCAGACAAAGAAAACTGAGATATTACTGCAAAAATTGTGATAACAAAAAGAAATGACCCATATTCAAGGTTCTCAGTAATTTTCTGACTAGAAATGCCATCTGCATTTCCATGCATAACCCAGATGATCCAGAACCTCTCTCAAGTGGAATTACTACTGCCACTGACAAAAGACCAATACCACCCAACTCTTCTTCACTACTAGGGAGAATTTTATGATTGTGTATTTGTGAAATATGTATGTATGAAAATATATCTGTAAGATTATACATAGTGTTTCCAACTCCCAAATATATGTAAAGATCAGGTTATAAAGATTCTGATAATAAAATGCAATCATAATTTTTTTAAAAGAAAGGGACATCAATAATCGTTGTACAACACAAAGAGTACAACCACTGGCCCTGTATTATATAGAGAGAAATCATTGAATGGGAGAATGTTTTGTTATATACATAAGTTAAAAAAATGAGAATTACATGAATAACAATGAATACAAGGAAGAGAAACATATTCTACAATTGATGTGGCAATGATTGCATAACTCTTCTTGGTATGATTGAACTATCAGATTTTATATTTGGGTGAAGTGCCAATAAAACTAAAAAAAAATAAAGCGACATCTCCCCTCTCTTCTTCGGCGGAGGAAGCAGACATCTTCCACCAGCATCATGGCTGCTCTCAGGCCACCAGTGAAGCCTAAAATTGTCAAAAAGGGGACCAAGAAGTTCATGTGGCACTAATCCTATATGTCAAGATTAAGTGCAACTGGCGCAAGTCCTGAGGCATTGACAACAGAGTGCAGAGAAGATTCAAGGGCCAGATCTTGATGCCCAACTTGGTTACCGGAGCAACAAGAAAACCGAGGACATGCTGCCCAATGGCTGCTGCAAGTTACTGGTCCACAGCGTCAAGGAGCTGGAAGTGCTGTTGATGTGCAACAAGTCTTATTGTACAGAGAATGCTCACAGTGTTTCCTCCAAAAATCACAAAGCCATCGTTGAAAGAGCAGCCCAGCTGGCCATCAGAGTCACCAATCCCAACGCCAGGCTGCGCAGTGAAGAAAATGAATAGATGGCCAATTTGCGAGTTTTATTTGTGCTAAATAAAACCATAAATGTAAAAAAAAAAGAAATAAAATATTAAAGTGGATGTCAGAAGAGACTCTGAAGCTTTCTCTTAGTTGTCTAGTAGCTAAGGCAAATTGAAGGAATTAAGTAGTCAAAGAGCTGAACAGAAAATTTCAAAGGGCACCTCAAGAAGACAAAGGTAAAGTATAATAACGGAATGTTCCAAGACCTAGATTTAGAAAACCACAACGGAAGAACACACTCAAGCGTGCCTTAAGCTGAAAGAACTGAAGAAAAGTCAAGCTTAGGGCTGCAATACTGAAAAAAATTTTAAGGCCACAGTAGTGAGTGATACCGTAGGCATCAAAATAACACACAGTCACTGTCTCCAAAAGTAGTAGTATGGTTGTGTAACCATTTCAAGAAGTAGCATATGATCTAGAACCAATGGTGCTGAAGGCAGAAGTCCAATCTGCAGTGAAGACATTAGCCAAAACCAAACAAGGCTCCAGGAATTGTGAGAGTACCCATTGAATTGCTTCGACAAGCTGATGAAGCACTGGAAGCACTTGGCTATGCCTAGAAATTTTGAAGACAGCTACCTGGCCAATGGACTGGAAGAGATATTTGTGCCCATTCCAAAGAAAAATGGCCCAGTATCACACACACATAAAATTTTGCTGAGGATCGTCCAACAATTGTAGCAGTACATTGACAGGGAGCTGCCTAAGGTTCAGGCCAGATTCAGGGGAGGACCTAGAACCAGGGATATCATTGCTGATGTCAGGTAAATCGTGTTTCAAAGCCCAGCATACCAGAAGCGTGTTGTGCTTTATTGACTATACAAAGGCATTCAACTGTGTGGATCATAACCAACTATGGAAAGTGGAATTCCACAAAAGTTAATTGAGCACATGGATTAAAAGGCAGTTGTGCAAACAGAACAAGAGAATACTGCATGATTTAATACAATAATACATGGTTTAAAATCATGGAAGGTGTGTGTCATGATTGTATCCTCTCACCATACTTAAATAATCTTAGCAAATATTCAGAGAAATTGGGCTATATGAAGAAAACCGTGGCATCAGGATAGGAAGAAGGCTGATTAAAAACCTTTGATATGTCTACTCTCATTGTTGACCCTGAAGTGAGAGTAGAGATACCAGTAGGATTAGGGGATGGTGGGGGCAGTAAGGGGAAATTGATCACAAGGATCCATCTAGAACCCCATCCCAGGGGGACGAATAATGGAAAAGTGGGTGTGGAGTGATGGAGGATGATGTAAGATATGGAAAAAATAATTGATAACTTATCAAGGGTTTGTGAGGGAGGGTGGGAGGGGGAAGAAATGGGGAGCTGATATCAGGGACTCAAGTGGGAAGAGAATGCTTTGAAAATGATGATGGCGGCAAATGTGTTTGACACACTGGATGAATGTATAGATTGTGATACGAGGTATAAGAGCCCCAGTAAAAGTATTTAAAAAAACAAAACAAAACAAAAAAACCTTTGAAATGCAGGTGACACAGCCTTGCTTGAAGTACTGACAGAGATCAAAGATGGCAGCTTTCAATATGTATTGCAACTAATGTAAACCCAAATCTTCACAACTAGGCAATGGGTAACATAATAAAAATGGAGAAAAGTTTTAAGTTGTCAGGGACTTCGTCTTGCTTGGATCCATAACCAATGCTCATGGAAGCAGCGGTCGGGAAATCAATTGACGCATTACATTTGGGGTAAAGCTACTGCACAAGACCATTTTAAAGTGTTGAAAAGCAAGGAGATTACTTTGAGGACTGAGATGTCACTGACCCACGCTGTGGCACTTTAAATCACCGCATGTGCATGTAGCAGTTGGGCATTGGGTAAAGAAGAGTAAAGAAGAATTGATGCATTCGAATTGTGGGCCTGGCAGCGTAAGTTGGAAGTACTGTGGACTGCCAAAAGAACAGACAAATCTGTCTCGTAAGAAGTACAGCAGAGTGCTCCTTAGAGGCAAGAATGGCAAGACTTCATCACATGTACTTTGGACATGTAATCTAAATAGAGACAATATCCACAGTCAGTTGTAATTGGAATAAAATTAGGGAAACTTTAAAAAGCAGTAAAAGGTAGTTGTAACATTTATAATAATTTAGTACTAGTATCGGAAAGAATGTGTTTCAGCAGTTTGTGGAACTTTTAAAATTTCAAGACTAATTCATTAATGAAAATATTTTTGATTTTCATATAAACCAGGAGAGCTGTTTTGATCACTATTAAGCTGTATTTTAAACAAAATCAACACTAAATCAACAAACCAGTAATGTTAAATTAGAACAGCCTCTTATATGTGTCTGAAATAGTTACATGCACACAAGCTAAGCAAGTTTGTGTTCATCTGAACGTGCATTAAAGATATGCAGCCCTGTTATCAAACTTGCCAAGCGTCACTTTACTAGGCAGGTAGAACTTGTGATGCCAAAGACAGAATCCTTGGAACCATCATCCAAGCTGAGGGGCATGTGAAATCCTTTGCTCTCACTGAGTGATGTTGCATGCTCTACGGAAAACCACATTCTTCAGTGCCCCTGGCCCCTCTCTAAGGAGCTCTGCCGATGTGGGTGGTTACCCATTAGACTTGTAACCACATTGTGAGCAACTGGGACGCACCAGCCACCGCTGGGGAGGAGAAAGATGAGGGTTCTGTGCCTGTGAAGCCCTGGCACTTCTAGGGATCACTCTTGCTCTGCAGGTCGCTCTGTGTCTGAGTTGACTCTATGGCAGTGGGTTGTCGCTTTATCTCCTCCTCTGTGGTTCAAGGTGCTTTTCATTCAGAGACAAACATGGGCCTGAGAGGTGAAAACGTAGCAGATAACTTAAGTTATTTGCAGCCTCAGATATTTTCATTTTCTGCCTCTCAATGCACACATTATTTAAGCAGTCAGCCCAGTATAAGAACATGGAAAGCATCGTTTATCCACAAATATTTCCTCCACAGTTTCTAACTAGACTGTATATAGTTAATAAAGTAAATGCTTTTGAGGGAGTTTAGAAATCAAGATTATTGTTTTGTGTTATTGAATATGTGTTTTTGTGAATTTTGTGAATATATGAATTGGGTTATTGAGGATTATTGAATATGTGTTGATGGATCATTAAAGGAGGCAGTGTTTTGTGAAAAGTATAAGTACTTCAAATAGAAATAATATCAAAGCTTCCCTTGAAGGGCCATACAGTCAAGTAGAAGATGCTATTTTATAATATAGAGATATTCACAAGGCCCACTACTCTTCTATATCAAAAGGTTTTCATTTATAAAATGGAGCTGACAAAATCTCCCTTTTTTTCTTGACAAATCCTTCCCAAGTTGTATCCAATATTTTCTTTCCCAATATATTACTAGTGAACATATGCATTTGTCTCTAGCATAGAGTTTAGAACTTGATTATATTTAGCCTAAGTATTTTATTATGCTGATTACTTTCATATAATCAGTTTGAAACTTCACAAATCTGGATTTCTTAACTATATTAATAATGCTCTAAAAGTAGGTATATTATTTATTTCTTTGCTTTTCCTATGCAGGCCAAAATGTCTAGACACATACATAACAGGCAATCAGCAAATATATATTGATTTGAATAACTCACCAGATGTTTCTACTTTTTTTAGCACGCTGTTGAGAACACTTTAAACTGGTTAAAGAGCTTAGCGATGATAAAGAAAAACCGATGGTTTTAAAAGCAATAGTCATCTTTTATTTAGACTACATTGTCTTTAAGTGACAACGTTTGGGGAAGAAAGTCAATTTATGTGTGATTTATCTACTGAAGGTATTTTACATTCTCCTTGATGGAGGCATGCATTGTGACATGAAGTGTAGACGTTTGTCTTCCCTCAAAAACTCACACGTTATTTATCTTTTTTATCAGGAGTGACCTTGTTATGAAAATTGATGCTCTTATTTCTTCTTTGCCTAAACCTTCATCTCGGTATGATATCACATTTCTTAAAGAGAATCACAGGTAAGAATTAATAGCCTCTGTGTGTTTTTCTGTCGCTGCATGCTATTCTCAGTCATTTGCTATTCATAACATAGCAAAATTAAAAGTACAGGGTTTTTGTTAGAAAACAAATATAAACTGTGGTATTTGGCATCATTAAGAAAAGCAATTAAATTTGTACATGCTAATCAATAAAGGATTATACATTAGATATAAAATCTCAAGTAATATACTAAAATGTTTCTAAATTTTCTTTCATACTTGATACTTTTGAGTTTTGCCGTATCTCAGGGTAATCTTCATGAATAATATTTTTATATTCTTAATGTATAAGAGGTATAGTTAATAAATTTTAATTAGTAAAATTTAGAGTTACTTATGCACAAGTCTGTCTTGGAAAAATACAGCCAGAATGCTCCTCAGAAACAAGGATGGGGAGATATCATCTTACATACTTTGAATAGATTAGCAGGACAGACCAGTCCCTGGAAAAGCACATCATGCTTGGCAAAGTAGAGGGTCAGTAAGAAAGCAGACCTTACATGAGGTAGATTGACATAATGGCTGCAAGTGTGCGCTCCAACGATGACCATTGTGAGGCTGGATTGGGACTGGGAAGCATTTTGTTCTGTTGTACATAGAGTTCCTAGAAGTTGGAACCAACTTGAGACACCCAACAACAGTATACACATATTGAGGAGCCCTGGTGTCACAGTGGCTTAAGTATTGGGCTGCTAGCCGAAACGTTCTAAGTTCAAACCTACCAGCTGCTCTGCAGGAGAAAAATGTGTCATTTTACTTATATAAAGATTTACAGCTTCAGAAACCATGTGGAGTCATTTTAATCTGTCCTGTAGGGTCAAAATAAGTCAGAACCCACTCAACAACAATGAGTATACACCAATTTAGCTATATATAGATATAGATATATGAGAAAAATTCAAAGAGCTTTTTATAGCAGCTTATCTCAAAGTATGTTCAATACAAAATTATTATGTTGCTCGACATTCTGGGAGAAAACTGTTCTCTAGCCAGTTTAGTTTGGAAAACACTACATCTTATATCTATACTGCTTTAGAGATTTTTATTGTATACCAACTTATTAATGTTTCTGAGAAGCTGTGTTGTTAGAAGAAAAAGAAGGTTTGTTTTTGTTAACCTAGCAGTGGGATAGCTCATTTTGTTAAAAAATATACTCTCACAAAATTTAGAATCATGAAAACAGCCATCATAGAAATACTGTGTTAGAATAATAAACTAGTTTGTATTCCCACTATATATAGCGCAGCTATTCTAAGATATAAATAAACGATCTATATACATGTAAGAATTAGCCATTGAAAACCGTATGGATAGCACCAAAATATTGTCAGATGCTGATAATCCCATAAATAGAAGCCCACCATTGTCAGAGAGAGTACCAGAAGAGGGACGTCTCAAGTCAGAGGCACTCAAAACGTGTCCAAGTTAGAGTTGCCTTTTCAAAGTCGTCACCCATAATGACATGGGTGGAGGAACGCCTGTGGGATTAAAACCTTCAGGACCTTCATTTACTGATGGGCCAGCACTCAAAATAAGAAGAAAGAAACAGCCGCAATCATCAATTAATCATCCGACTTGGTAGAAAGTGTGAATCTAGGAACATTGGATTTAAACGGTTAAAATCTTGACCGTTGATCCCCCCTGATTCATGTTGAGCCTGACCTGGTTTTAAACACTGTGGGTTTTTTGTTTCCCTTGTTGGGCTTTCTCTCAGATGTATTTTGTCATTGAAGGTAACCCTCTTGAGTTTTTGGTGTATATTTTCTGTTTGTTGGTGTAGAAACCCAGGACTGATGAACCTACAGAGACAGGTAGTCTAATAAGGGGTCCTGGAGGATATTGGGGGAAGTAAAGGGAGCTGATATGAAGGAGCTCAAGCAGGAAGAGAATGTTTTGAAACTGTTGTAGCAGTTATACAACACTGCTTGATGTGATTGAGCTATGAAATGAAATTATATCTGTATTAGCTCCTGATAACAACGGTTTTTAAAATAATGAAATGGAATCCATAAATATTGATGTTGTATGTGCTGGTGGACTAAAATAGACTGATAGTGCTCATCTTTAATCAGAAAGTCATACAGTTTAGTTTGCCAGGAATGACATGTTCAAGAGGAATGCTGTCACATTCATCATCAAAAAGGACATTTCAAGAGACATCTTGAAGTGCATTCCTGCCTATGCACTCACAAACAAGGAAGTACAATTAACACAGTGGTTACTCCAATTTGTGCACCTCTGCTAAAGCTAGTGAGGAAGAAATTGAAAAATCCTACCAACATCTTCAGCCTGGAATTCACCAAACATGCAATCAAGGTGCATTGATAATTACTGCTGATTGGAATGCAAAAGTTGGAAACAAGAAAAAGGAACAGTAAACATGGTCTTGGAGATAGAAACAAAGCTGGATATCACAGGATAGAATTTTGCAAGACCAATGACTTCAACATCACAAATACCTTATTTCAACACCACTTATTTCAACTAAACGTGTGGCACTGCTCCAGATGGAACACACAGTAATCAAATTGACTATATCTGTGGGAAGAGACAGTAGAGAAGCTTAGTATCAGCAACTAAAACCAGATCAGGTCAACTATACCAACGATGGAATAGAACATCAGTTGCTCATAGGTAAGTTCTGTTTGAAACTAAAGAAAATTAAGTCCATGAGAGCCAAAATAGAACCTTGAGTATATTCTACCACAATTTCTAGAACATCTCAAGAACAGATTTGACGCATTGAACACTAATGACAGAAGATCTAATGAGTTGTAGGATGATTTAAAGAAAATCGTTCTTGAAGAAAACAAAAGGTCATTAAAAAGATAGGAAAGAAAGATCAAAGTGGATGTCAAAAGAGACTCTGAAATGTATTCTTAGTTGTCGAGTAGCTAAGAAAAATGGGAGAAACGAAATCAGAGAGGTAAACAGAAATTTTCAAAGAGCAGCTGAAGAAGACTAAGTATTATAATGAAATGTGCGAAGACCTAGAGTTTGAAAACCAAAAGTAAGAACATACTCAGCATATCTTAAGCTGAAATAACTTAAGAAAATTGGAACATTGCAAGATGCTAAGGGCAAACTGTTGAATGGTGCTGGAAGCATCAAAAGAAGATGAAAGGGATACAGCGTACCAAAAAGAAATAACATTCCACCATTTCAGGAGGTAGCATATGAGCAAGAACCAATGGTACTAGAGGAAGGAGCTCAAACTGCACAAGAACAAGGCTCCAGGAATTGCTGGAGTTCCCATTGCAATGTTTCAGCAGCTGATGAAGCCCTGCAAGCACTCACTGGTGTATGCCAGGAAGACAACTAGTTGGCCAACTGACTAGAAGAAACATATTTGTACTCCTTCCAGAGAAAAGTTTAAGTTATAGAACAGTATCATTAGTGTCACATGCAAGTCAAGCTTTGCTGAAGATCATTCCACAACAGTTGGAACAGTACATTGACGGAGCTGCCAAAGGTTCAGACAGGCAGCAGAAGAGGACATGGAACAAGGGATATCATCGTTGATATCTGATAGATCTTGGTTCAAATCAGAGAATAACAGAAAGATGTTTATTTATGTATTATTGACTATGCAAAGGCATTCAACTGTGTGGATTATTACCATCAGAATTCCACAACAGTTAATTGGGCTCTTAGGGAACTTGTACATGCATCAAGAGTCAGGTGAGTGAACAGAACAAGGAAATATTGTGTGGTTTGAAATCAGGAAAGGTGTGCATCAGGGTTATACCTCTCACCATACTTATTCAATCTGTGTGCTAAGCAGTTAATCAGAGAAGCTAGATTATATGAAGAAGAATGTGTCTTGTCAACAGGATTGGAAGAAGGTTTATTAACAACCTTCTCTAGCAGATGACACACCTTGCTTGCTGCAAGAGAGGAGGACTGTAAGCATTTGCTGATGAAGATCAAGGCGTGCATTCTTCCATGTGGATGATAACTCTGTAATAAAATCAAAAATCCTCACATCTGGACAAATAGGAAACATCATGATGAGAGCAAAGATTGAAGTTGTCAAGGGATTAATCTTGCTTGTATCTACAATCTTTGCTCATGGAAGCGGCAGTCAAAAGACCAAACAACACATTGCTTTGGGTAAATCTGCTGCACAAACCTCTTTAACGTGCCGAGAAGCAAGGATATTACTTTGAGGACTAAGATGCTCCTGGCCCAGGTCATGGCATTTTAAAATGCCTCCTATGCATGTGAAAGTTGGACATTAAATAAGGAAGACCAAAGAAGAATCGATGCATTTGAATTAGGGTGCTGGCAAAGAATATTGAAAGTCCTACAAACTGCCAAATGAACCAACAAACCTGTCTTGGAAGAAGTAGACCAGAATGCTTCTTGGAGTCAAGGATGCGAGCCGTTGTCTCACATCTTTTGGGCATGTTGTCCCGAGAGACCAGTGTCTGGAGAAGGCAGCATGCTTAGCAAAGCAGAGGAAGGCCCTTAGATGGGTTGGCGCTGTTGCTGCCACAATGGCCTGAAACATAATTGTGAGGACGGAGTAGGCCTGGGCACTGTTGCATTCTTTTGTACACAGGGTTGCAGTGAGTCGGAACAGACTTGACTGTACCTAAGAACAGCTTCTATGAAGATATCGGTATCTTCTGGAAAGAGCTGTCTTTTGTTTTTTGATCAAGGCCCACTTGAAATTAAGAGGCATACCAACTTGTCATCATATCAGTAAGCTGGTATGTTCTATTGTATTATCTTATTCTAATCACTATGCTTATAAAACTTATTTAAGTTAAAATACTACTTTGACATTGACGTTTTCTTGTTAGGTTTCCTAGTTTTTGGTAGATCAGATCTTCTTTTGTTTCTGTTTACTCTCTGAAGATACCATATGCCTTAGTATCTGAGAAGTACAACTCACCCTGAAGGTTAAACTATGTAATCAGCACAAGGAATCAGCAGATAGATGTAAACACTTATCCTAAATGGAAAGACTAGGGTTCATTGACTCAAGTGGGAGTTAATGACAACCTGAATGCAAGTGTCAATTTATTTCAAAGACAATAATAATAACAATTAGAATTTAATCAAAGGAATAGAGCCACTATGTTTATTTGTAGACACATTCATAGATTTATTGACCTTCCACAATTTTGGAAGCTAGTCAATCTTTCTAAGGCTCTTACCTGTTTTTTAAAAATACTTTTATTGGGGCTCTTACATCTCTTAGCACAATCCATACATTCATCCAGTGTGTCAAGCACATTTGCACATATGCTGCCATCATCATTTTCAAAGCATTCTTTTCCCACTAGAGCCCCTGATATCAGCTCCCCATTTCTTCCCCCTCCTCCCCCCGCCCACCCTACCTCACTAACCTTTGATAAGTTATAGTTTATTTTTTCCATATCTTACATCGTCCTCTGTCCCCCTCACCCACTTTTCCATTATTCTTCCCCCTTTCTCCCCCTACCCTACCCTAATCCTCCTGTTATCTCTATTCTCCTTGTTGCCCCTGAGGGGTTTATCTGTCCTGGATTCCCTGTGTTGTGGGTTCTTATCTGTAGCAGTGTGCATGCTCTGGTCTAATCCGATTTGTAAGGTAGAATTGAGATCATGATAGTGGGGTGAAGGAAGCATCAAAGAACTAGAGGAAAGTTTTGTGTTTCATCAGTGCTATACTGCACCCTGACTGGCTCATCTCCTCCCTGTGACCCCTCTGTGAGGGGATATCCAACTGTCTACAGATGGACTTTGGGTCTCCACTCCATGCCCTACCGCCCCATTCACCTTGGGTATGGTTTTATTGTGGGTCTTAGATGCCTGATACCTGACCCCATCGACACTTCATGATCACACAGGCTGGTGTGCTTCTTTCATGTGGGCTTTGTTGCTTCTCAGCTAGTAGCCATTTGTTATCTTCAAGCCTTTAAGACCCCAGATGCTATATCTTTTGATAGCTGGGCACCACCAGCTTTCTTCACCACATTTGCTTATGCACCCATTTGTCTTAAGTGATCATATTGGGGAGGTGAGCACACAATGATATGATTTTTTGTTCTTTGATGCCTGATAACTGATCCCTCTGGCACCTCATGATCACGCAGGCTGGTGTGCTTCTTCCATGTGGGCTTTGTTGCTTCTAAGCTAGATGGCCGCTTGTGTACCTTCAAGCCTTTAAGACCCCAGACACTATATCTTTTGAGAGCTGGGCACCATTAGCTTTCTTCACCACATTGCTTATGCACCCGCTTTGTCTTCAGCGATTGTGACAAGACTATATTTTTATCACCCTGCTTCCATATCTATTTGGGAGTCTCGTAAAGGAGAAAGAACTGGGTAGTGATAAATTCAAGGCAAGAAAGTTTTTACATATGTTTTCAACAGTAAAAGCAAATAAATTACTGAAAAATAAAAGATCACAAGAAAACTCTTGGGAAAAATAATTATGGTCATTATCTTGATTGTTGTAATGGTTTGTATGTATATGTATAATTCAGAATTTATCAAATTAAACACTTTGAACAGTTAATTCCATGACAATCATAACTTTAAAAGGCTATAGTAAAAAGCCAGGCCAATGTTGATTGGGGGAGGGAGGGCAGAACTAAGTTTGACAACTGTGCTAAAGGGTTAATCATATTCCTAAATATGAAGCAATATATCCAACCTAGAACAAAAACATCTTGGTTTCCATTTTTACGATAATCAATGAGAATACATTTGGGCTTGATTATCTGAGTTTTCACTTGTAATAATATTGTTTTCTTAAGGGGTTTGCTATTCATTTCCTACAATCATGCTTTCATTTTCTATAATCCTTCCCAGTTTTGTTGTATGAGTACATTTGACTTATGTTTTCATTTCCTTATTTTAAATAACCTGGAGCTTTTGTTAATACTGTGAAGAAGAAAGCCATTTACAAGAATATTTACAACCAAGATCATTAGGTAATTGTATAAACTTAACATTTTTCTCATTTATTTTCCATTTTCCCAGCATTATAAAGATAAACCCTCAAGAAAATAATATGTTCTTTGATGTCATTGCTATTGTTGATCCATTGACAAGAGAAACACAGAAGATGGCACAGTTATTGATTGTAAGACAATATTAAAAGCTAAATTAATTTTGCTCTTGCAACTTATATTTGATCTTTTCAAGCCTGCGTTAAGAATAATTAATTTTAAAAAAAAGAATAATTAATTTTTTATTGCTTGTTCTCATGATTCTTTACTTCATCCAGTATTTTAAATAGATTCTTCTATTTTATATATAGAAAATGAAATGATAGCCTTCTGTACAGGTATGAAGGCAGTACAGTATTAGGTGTCTCCCTAATATTGTGAGGGATAGCTTCTGGAGAAACTGTTGCTCAAATCTAATTAGCATAAGCTGTAAAGATAGTATGTTACCCCAACAGAGAAAATTAATGGAAGGGAAAATATGAGGGTTCTATTAAATTGTTTTGGCCACTCTCTCAAAGGCCACAAGATTGAAGTTTCATTTCTCACCTATGACACAGTATCTGCAACAATGGGCGCAGACCAAAAACAGTTGTGAGGAAGGTACAGGTCCGAGCAGTGTGTCGCTCTATTGTACTTAGGGTCACCATGAGTTGTAATGGGCTCAATGGCACCGAACAACAATTATAGTTCAAGTGTAAGCCAACTTGAGTTGATAGGAAACGCCACACAGTGTGAGGACCTCATGCACCTTCTGTCTTGTTGCTCAACAGTCCTCTTGATGCAACTTCTGCCTAATGGATCAAGATCACCACCCAGCTCTTAGTATTAACTGTACAAGCCAGCAAAGAGGCACAAGGACACTCTCCCAAAGGTAGACATAGTCCATCTAGTCATCTGACTTTACCTAGCCACAAAAGAGGCTAGAAATTAAAATCTCAAACTAGATGGCACGAGCCCTGCAAAAACCTGAAAGTCTTAAGAAAGAAAGTAGAAGAGCACGAATATTAAGAGATAGTGCTCTTTCTTAATGATGAGCCACATTTAGTTCCAAGGTTCAAAAACTGTGATATGTCTTTTAGTAGTTAAATGTGGGAGGCTGTGAGTTTTTCAAGTGATGTTCGGGATTTTGGGAAACTCCCAATTTGACATGTATTTTCAGATGCATTTCAATAATAAAAAAACACCTCAGAAGTTGAAAGTATTCTTACTTGTTACATTTTTAGAAACATAAACATAATTAATAAGTCTAGTGAGTGACGGAAGTGATCAAGCTGAATAATACTAGTGTATATATTTTATAGTTTTATTCACATAATTTACTATCATAAAAGTCAATAGTAATAGTTCAGTCACATCAAGAAGAGTTGTACAAACATCACCACAATCAAGTTTAGAACAATTTCTTCTTCCTTGTACTCTTTGTTGTCTTCCATACCCGCAAGGAACCATTAATCCAGTTATTGTCTATAGATTTACCTATCTTGGATTTCATTTATAGAAAAACATTTTTTAAAATAACTTAAAAATAAAGTAAAGCAAACAACAACTTCAATCACAATGAAAGCAGAAAATTAATAGAACTAGAGCAACGGAACATAAGGAAAATCAAATGATAAGGTGCTAAATGTTAACCTAAGTGCATCTGCAACAAATCACTTTCCAGTGCATTCTGCATTACAGCAAGGCTATTCACCTAGTTGTTCCATGGCCAAAGGGGATTCCCCAGAGGCTTAATCCATAAGGCTTTACCCCTTCACCACTGTACATTCTTTCAAGATTTTAAGATGCAGTTTTTCTCAACAATTAGTTTTTATTGCCAAATCTTATTTACTAGTTTAGAAAAATTGGAAACACTGTCATTCTAGATGTTCAGTGTATGATTTGGCAAGACTTAAGTCTGTAGTTACTACTTTTCCTTTTGTTTGTTTATTTTTTTACATTTATATACTTTCATATCTGAACAACTTCTTCAGACACAGATTTCATAAAAATCATTTTATTGGAGGCTCTTAACAGCTCTTATCACAATCCATACATCCATCCATTGTTTCAAGCACACCTGTACATATGGTGCCATCGTTATTTTCAAAACATTTCCTTTCTATTTGATCCATTGGTATCAGCTCCTTTTCCCCCTCTCCCACCCTCCCTCCCTCATGAACCCTTGATAATTTATAAATTTTTTTTCATGTCTTACACTGACTGATGTCTCCCTTCACCCCCCTTTTCTGTTGTCTGTCCCTCTGGTAAAGAGTTATATATAGATCAATCACTGTGATTGATTCCCCACTTTCCCCACCACCTTTCTCTTACTCTTCTGATATCGCTACTCCCATTACTGGTCCTGGGGGGTTTATCTGTCCTGGATTCCCTGTGTTTCAAGCTCTTATCTGTACCAGTGTACATGCTCTGATCTAGCCAGATCTGTAAGATAGAGTTAGGGTCATGATAGTGGGGGGAAGAAAGCACTAAAGAACTAGAGGCAAGTTGTATGTTTCATCTGTACTATACTATACCCTGACTGGCTTGTCCTTTCCTTGTGACCCTTCTGGAAGAGGGTATCCAATTATCTACAGATGGACTTTGGCTCTCCACTTCGCACTCCTCCTCATTCACATTGAAAAGATTTTTTGTTTTGAGTCTTTGTTGCCTGATACCTGATCCCATCATCGCCTCATGCTCACACAGGCTGGTGTGCTTCTTCCATGTGGGCTTTGTTGCTTTTCACTTAGGTGGCCGCTTGTTTATCTTCAAGCTGTTAAGACCCCAGACACTATATCTTTTGATAGCCGGGCACCATCAGCTTTCTTCACCACATTTGCTTTTTCACCCTTTTGTCTTCAGCAGTCGTGTCCAGAAGGTGAGCATCACAGAATGCCAGTTATTAGAACAAAGTGTTCTTTCACTGAGGGAGTACTTGAGTAGAGGCCCAATATCTGCCTGCTACCTTTATACATAGATCTATTTCCCTATTATATATACATATTTTACGTATGTGCATGCTTGTATTTAGACTTCTGTAAATGTCCTTTGCCTCCTAGTTCTTTCATCTATTTCTTTTTACTTTCCTCTTTTCCCACTATCATGTTCAACCTTCATTTAGGTTTCAGTAATTCCTCTAGGCTGTGCTGCCTTTGATTAAGCCCCACTAGGCATCATTTGTTCTCCTCGCCATTGATTTTAGCTCACTTGTGAGACACAGATTTTGGGGGGAAAGCAACAACTAGTAATCATATGTATAAGCTTTGAGTCAAGTATGAATGCTTTGGACTGTATCAATTCCCTATTCGCATCTCCCTGCCACTGAATCAGTGCTGACTCATGGTGACCCTCTAGGACAAGGTAAAACTGACCCTGTGAGTTCTAGAGACTAATTGTTACAGGAGTAGAAAGGCCCTTCTTTATTCCAAGGAGCGGCTAGTGGTTTCAAACGCCTGTCCTTGTAGATGGCAGCCCAGTGCATAACCACTACAGAACCAAGGCTCTTGTCCCTATTTGTAGACAGGGTCATTATTCAGAAAAGATTACTGCCTACATATGAAACTTGTGTGAAGGTATAATTTAGAAATAAGAAATAACTGCATCCCAGTTTACATAATCAGTAAAGATAAATAACATTCTATTGCTTAGCAACTCATAAACATTGATAGCATAAAGTAATGTATTAGAGGAAAGAAATGTCTCATTTAACTCTTAGGAAAAACCATAGAACATAGATCTTCAGAGCAGCAAGTATGATGATTATAAAAATGAAATTAAAGTGGGATTATGACTGAACGCCTCTAAGTCAGAATCCGGCCTAGGAGGAACGATACGGCAGCGCCGCGGAGCCTCGGTTGGCCTTGGATAGCCGGCGCCCCGCCGCGCGTCGGGACCGGTCCCGTGCGGAGTGCCCCTCGTCCCGGGAAACGGGGCGGGGCCGGAAAGGCAGCCGCCCCCTCGCCCATCACACACCGCACGTTCGTGGGGAGCCTGGTGCTAAACCATTCGTAGACGACCTGCTTCTGGGTCGGGGTTTCGTACGTAGCAGAGCAACTCCCTCGCTGCGATCTATTGAAAGTCAGCCCTCGACACAAGGGTGGGTTTGTTTTGTTTTGTTTGTTTGTTTGTTTGTTTGTTTTTAAAGAAAAAACAAGAAATGAAATTAAACTCAGAGCTCTTAAACCCTACCTCATTGCCATCAAGTTGATTCCAATTCATAGTAGGGCACCATCTGCTTTCTTCACCACATTTGTTTATGCACCCATTGGTCTTCAGCGACTGTGCCAGGAGTGTGAGCATGCCGGGTTGTTCGGACAAAGTGTTCTTGCATTGAGGAAGAGCTTGAGCAGAGACCCAGAGTCCATCCACTACCTCAGTGTATTACCATATAAATATAAGTACATAGGCCAATACCTCTATGAATTAATATATTTATATATGTACACACCTATGCTTATACCTCTGTCCATTGCTTTGCCTTTTAGATCTTTCCACTGTTTCCTTTTACCTTCCTCCTTTCCCACCATCAGGCTTATTACCCTTCTTCCCCCTCTTAGTAATTCCTCTCAGCTCCAACACCCTCAGGATCTCTATGTCCTCCCTGTTGTTAAAGTCCCTAGTTGTTCTCCTGTCTTTGGCATTGTTTGCTCACCACTCTTTTGCCCCGCCGCCTCCTCCCCGCAGGTCCTTCTGGAACCATCAGCCCCATTGCTTACACCTCGAACTAGCTTCCTATGCCTGTCTTACTAGGTTGGCAAACCAACAATAACAGGGACCAAACAAAAAGAAAACAATAGGTTGACTAAAAAGAGAAGGAAAAAAAGATAATAATAACTAGCCAGAAAAGAAGAAAGCATAAATAATTCCAGGTCCAGGTTTGTTCTCTGACGTTTGTGACTATCCCACCACTGGTCCTGGGGGAATTCCGGGAACTGCCGCTCCTAACCTGAAGTCTATTTTGGGGGCTCATCAGGGGCTTTGTGGCTTTGCTTTATTCCTGCTGCTGATCTGTTATGTTCCCTTCTTGGTTCGCTCTGCTGTTGGGTGTTCATACTGGACTAACTCCCTGCCATGTGTCCCCAGTTTCTGTCACGGTACGTCCCAGTGAGGGGACATCATATCTTGAGCTGTTGTTTGTCCTACAGTTGTCTCTGTGCCTTAGCAGCTCTGCAGGGACATCATCCTCCGGGCTTGGTGTGTCGATATGGGGTCTATAATCTCCCCCTCTCTTTTTCCTTCTTGGGTTGCTTCCATTTGGGATCCTTTCCCCAACCTGTAGGTTTAGTGTTGACCTCTGTAGCACATACTTCTAAGGAGGGGGTCCGTTTGGTTCTGATTGGGGCCGACCCTGTAGCCCACATTTTTCATGAGCTACTCCATGTGGTTTCATTGCCCTCAAGGTTTGCTGCATCGTGGTGGGGTCTGCATGCACACTCCCAATTCTGTGGAGACATAACCAGTACTCTCTTCCTGGGTGGTGTAGTGGCCTTTTCCCCTGTGCCATTATCCTCCCCCCTCCTTTTCTCCTTCCCTCTTCCCACATTCCCCCTTCTTTGTGGTAGAATAACATGTACCTCCTTGGGTTTGGTCTGACCCCCACCCAACTGTCTGTACCTCACCCGTGTAGTGTGAGATCAGTGGCTTTTCTTCTATACCTACTGTGCTGATTATACTTACCTCAGGGGACTCATGTTGTACATGTCCTGTGGTGATTGGCTGACTTCGCTTAGCATAATTTCCTCACCTTTGTCATTTCTCACTGTGTGACCTTGGCAAAATCAATTTATCTCTCTGGGCATCAAACTATAACAGCTGCTACCTCTAAGAAAATTATGAGAATCAGTGAGATAATTATGTAAAATGATAATGCAGTACCTAGTACATAGAAGATGTTTAGAAAATGTTTGCTATTCATCTTACCTTACGTCTAATATGGGTATTTTTTTAGGTACTTAACAAAATGATCAACATGAAGCTAAAGTTGTTCATGAATTGTAGGGGTAAACTTTCAGAAGCCCCTTTACAGAGGTGAGTCTTAATGAACAAAACTTCATTTTAAAAGATTATCAAATGCTGAGAAGAAAATAAAAGGGCCGTAATTTTTATAGACATTGTGAATTTAATTACCTTAATTGTCATCAGAATTAAAATAACCTAACTCAATAAATCAATCCAGTCTAACTGAAGAATTTATGTGGATTTATGTTTGTACAAAGTAATTTTTGAAAATGTGTTTACAGATATGCATCTATTAAAATGCAAATGTGAAATACATGAACTAAACTATTTTGGGTTAGCCATTTTCAGTATTTCTGTAGCACTAAATTATCAAAATGATTTTATATTGTATTATCACATTTACTGTTTTGAGGTGTTGAGGTGCAATGAGTATAAAATAATATGTCAATGACATAGAAAATATTTATTATATAAAATATTTTTCATCCATATCGTCCTGCTATTGAAACACAAGTGGATAGCTTGAAAATACACTCTTCATTGTGTTCAGGATCAGAATTGCTATTGCTGTGAGCCACTCTTACTGATGGCTCAACAATATCCTGTAAGTGTGATGAGGCTCCAGTGAATACCATCTGACCAGACTTGGGAAATGTAAATAGGCTTGTTATCAGACAGAGCATCATAAAGTTGATTGTGGCAGATGTAGTTAAGCGGAAATGTAAGACTTTATCATTTGATCTCCCTTTGACCCATTTTAAAGTTGTTTCAGTTTCAAAAAATTTTAAAGTAAGGGCATAGGGAGAGGTATCTCAAGATGGCACACAGGTCAAATCACCTGCCTGGTGCTCCTGTCGTTAGATCGGGAAATTAAGAGGTAAGGAGGCCAATAGAGGGATACGGGTGTGAGAAAGAGAATCCTAGTGTACTAGGGTTTGTGAGTCAGACCTCCTCTTACAATTTTTGCCCACAGAGATTTGAGGGCTGACTGACATGGCGTCTACCCACAGGCTCTCCACATCCCTTGCAAGTTCCAGTGGGATAGCGTCTGCTACTCTTTCCTGCACCCAAGAGCCAAGACCCCCTAGAGTGCAATATTTCCCCAGAGCGCTGTCTGTGGGCGGCTGTAATCCCAGGCCCACAGAGAGCTTCCAAAACCTAGCCACAAGAACTCACTCTGGAGCTCACTCTGGCATTCTTTTCTCTGGCCCCTCCCCATTCATGTATTCCTGGACTTTGAACCTCCCTTCCCCGCCCCACCCAGCCCAGGAACACAGCCACCACATCAGCCACCCCTTCTCCCCTTCTCCCCAGCTCTTTGAATAGCCTGTCCACTGTGGGTAACAATAGGTAGACACTAATTTACTACAGCCAGAGAGCCCTGGGCTATTTACATCCCACCCCACCCCCTCTCCTCAGCAGATTGCAGATCCTTGGACACAGCCTATAGATCTGTGCAGGAGTGAGCCAGGCGGGCAGCTAGGAGAACTTAGACCCAGTGAGCCCATGAATGCTGACCGCCTTGCATGATCAGCCTGCCCAGTGCTACCCTCACTGCTCACAACAGACCTGGCGCTGCTTCTAGCAATCGGAGCCTGCAACCAGTCTGGCACAGGTCCCTTGAGTAGCTCCCTCCCCTGCTACGGCCCATGAGTGCCAGCCCATGCTGCATGCAGTTGGCCTGCCCAGCACCATCCTTGCTGCCCATAGCACCCTGGTCACTCTGCTTGAGAGAACCACCCATATCACCCACCAAATAAATAGTTCCCACTGTCTAGGGAGAGCATCAACTTCAGTGAGCTAGAGATGCAGCTTGAACCTGCAGCGCAGCGGGTTCCAGGTACTCCTTAGAATCATTCCTACTACCCTCAGAAAAAAATTGCAGGGCTCCTGGACTTCCAGATAAATGGTGTGATGCTCCACAAAAATGTCACACAGATAGTTGTTGTTGTAGACTTTCTGTTTTACTTTCTGTTCTTGCCTCGTTGCACTCAGTCTGGTGATGGTACATAGCATGTCTACCTGGAAGGGATAGGCAGAATAAACAAGCCAGAAGAGAGAACAACGGGATGACAGATCAGGGGAGCAGGGGGGGCGAGGGGGAGGAAGGAAGAGGGTTTTAACAAGCACAGGCACAAGGGAACAGCAAGTGATCCAAAATCA